TTGCTTCTGGTCCTGTGAACCACAATCACTAGATTTGCAAACACTTTCTTTGCTGCTTCTGTTTTCCTGACTTAGTTGGAAGAAGTGAAGTGTTTGAAGAGTTAGCAGGTCAAAGTTAGAGGCTTAGAAATAGTTTAAATAAATGTGGGAATAATCTTGATTTTATTTTAATTCGTGCTACCCCTGCCTAGTTTTGGAAAAGTGAGAAGATGCACAAAGGATGTAACTGGAAAGGATGTTAAAAGAAAATACTACCATTACTTAAGTTTAGTCTTCCTTTGCTGAAATCATGTGACAATTTAGACTGTAAGTTACTTTTTAGAATAGAAGAACTCTCAAATCTGCATATTAAAGTATAAGATTGAGCCCTTCAGTCATATATGAAAAGCTTTCTCTTGAAGAAAATTTCATGTATCTGATTCATCTCTTTTGGTTAATTTCTGACTTGCATTTTTCTCTTAATAGGGACAGGCCTTGTATTTTGTTAACTCAACCCACCTTTAAAGACACAGAGCCTCTGACTGATAGAATGAACAAATTAAACAGACTTCTAATTAAACAGGTATTTCTCCAAATAGTCTTATTTTACCAAGGATCTCACAGGGCAAGTAGGCCAGCGGCCAGCTGTGCACTACATGGAATAAACTGCAGGCTGCAGTCCTTTCCTGAAGTTAGGTATCCTTACAATATACAGATACGTTAATAACTTGGCAGTCTTACCAAGGAGGCTAAGGGCTAGGAATGGGTTGGAAAATGTATTGCTGAGAAACCCCAAGAGTGGCTGAATCATTTCAGAATTGTGCTTGTTTCATTACTGCAAGCAGTGACATTTGCTGTATGACCAGAGTGATCCGCCCCTCTAATGCTGTAGCTGATGGGTTTCATAGCTCAAGTATGGCCAATTCTATAGCTGAGCCTAAATTTCCAATGCATGCACACCTGGGACAGGCTAATGCCGTGCAATCTTAATAGGCATTATAGACACTGAAGGTAAGATTTCTTGTTGAGTCTCCTAGCTTTTCATTCTTTGTTTAGGGTATAATTCTTTATCTGTACATAAGTAGCTCAAAAGGAAAAATTAAGACTTTCAATTTTATAGTCAAATTAAATTTATTTTTCACTGCTTTATCTGTGCAACTTTGTAGTTGGTCCTGTTTATAATCACTGCTTTTACCGTGGATGCGCTGGGGAGGCTCAGACACCCAGCTGTGGCTTCAGTGGGGCTCTGCAGTGGTTACAGTTGGACTTGAGGCAGGCAAGTGTTGCATATTCCAGGAAAATTTAGGAATTAACACAACTTTCATTATCATGGGAAGTTGTCAAACTTTCAGTTTCACTGCACGTGCCACCTCATGTAAATCCAAGTAATCAGGTAAGTGCCTGCAAATGTTCTTGGCAGGGTATTTTTTCCACAGGTATTATACATGATTCAAAAAAGAAAAAGAAGACTCATTTTATGATTTCGTGGAACCCTTTTTTCTTTGTCCTATTGATATTAGGGCTAATAACTGAGCTATATTTAGAGAAACTGCCTGTCAGACTCTTTGCTTCCTCCTTTCTACATAAAATTTCAAAGGATCAAATAGATGCAACTCAGACTTTGGGTCAGCTGTGATTTTACATAAGGGTACAAATCTGTTCACTGCATTTATCCTAGTTTTTTATTGTTTCTACTTCCATTTTATGGAGGAAAAGGAAAGTGCATAAAAAGGTTTCCCTCTAAAAATGGGCCTAAAAGTGGGAATTGCTTTCTCAGGAGCTTGCCACCTGCAGTTAGTCAGATCCACTGGCTGAGAATTTTAATGAAACATTTTTCACTGTTTTCATTAGTTCCAGGGAACAAATTCAGTTATGAAATTTAGATATTGCTCTGTCTTACATCTGTATTGTAAACACCTTCTGTAAACTTCTGAAAATAACATGTTTTGGTGAAGTGTTTTCACTGAAAAATGCTCTCCAAATGTGTTTTTATTACTCATTGCCCAGCTGATAGCTGTGTTTTTGGAGAAAGTTAGATTTTCAAAGGGTGTGAAATATTCACACTTTTATAAAGTATATGATTTAAAATACCGCACAAGTTTTCACTAAAAAATAGCTTTTCTTTTACTCAAATTGTATTTCCAGAAAGTTTCATTTTTAAAGATTTTTTTTAAAGACAGGGGGGAAAGTCTGAGTAAAAATTATTTTTAATGACACTTCCAAATTGTAAAGTAGCTGGAATATTTGACAGCATACAGCTGCCCTGTATTTGTTGCTATTTCAGACTAACCTGTGGAGTGGTTCAGGTTTTAATGAAGCCTTGCTGCTTCAAGTACTTGAAGAGATTTTTCTTCTCTCACTGAATACCAGTTGTATGTTTCACATACTTGCACAGCAGCATGGGAGTATTTGTTGACAGTGAACTAACCCTGTAATCGTCTGTGCTTGCTCCACTGTGGAGGCTTAATTGTTCTTAAAACATTGGGAGATACGCTGAAGGTGTTTGGCCGGGCTAAGGGGCAGCAGCAGTCGGGTCAGCTTGTCGCTGAGCTGCCTTTGAGGAAGTGAGTAACGCTGTGTGTGCCTTCCTGCCTTCATTTCGCTGTCTTTATCTGGAGTGAACAGGTCTGGCAGAGCTTAGCAGGCTTCTCGTCTGAGGTCTGGAACTGGAATTCAGAAGCGTGCGACGAGGATCCCCAGCAAGGGACCTGCGCCTGACAACGCCGTGTGGCGAGACCCACCTTCTCCTGCGGCCAGCACCACAAAGTTAAATCGCCAACGAGCGGACGCTCAGAGGCTGGCTGTGGGGAAGGGCCTCGCTTCTCCGGGCTCGCTGTGGCATTTCGGCCGAGCCGCGCGACGCCCGAGCCCGCCCCGCCGACCACCGCCCGGGCCCGTTTAACAGCGGGTGGGCCGCAGCGACCGAGGGAAACTCCCGTTCCCCTTGGAAAAGCGCTCCCTCCGCAGGGCCGGGCCGGGCCGGTGTGGAGAGCCCGCCTGAGAGGGGCGGGGTGGGGGATCCCCGGCCGCCCCTGAGGGAAGGGGCGCGAGGCGCCTCAGCGCGGCTGCGGCGGGAGCGGAGCGCTGCCGGGGCCACACAAAGCGCCTCTCTTCCCCCTCCCTTTGTCTGCGTGGCTTTGTCTCCGCCGTCGTCGTCCCCCCCCCCCCGGGCCGGGACTCCCCGCCTCCGGTCCGCGGCGGTCCCCTTTGTGCCACCTGCGCGCCGTGGGAACGACCGCTCGCCCAATCCCCGGCCGGCCCGGCGAGCTGCTCCGCCAGCGCCGCTTTTCGCGTGGTGCCCGCACAGGTGCAAGGGCGGCGCGGAAGGCGCCGGGGAAGGCCGGGCGCGCCCCGCACCTCGCCGTCCCGTCCCACCCGGTCCCCCTGCGGGGCCCGTCCCGCCGCTGCCGCC